AAAATACTATGGCCTGTGCTATACAGAACATCAAGTTAAATGATTTCAGTGGTCCCTTCTGGCCTTATTTATAGATAAAATAGATCCGTATGGGAAGACTGCTCTGCCCATTTGGTGTTTCACTGACTTTAGGGAACAGCACTGTAATTAGCAAGATCATAATCTAAGATTACACATGTTTTAGAATAGGAACCCCATTATTTTATACATGGTACAATGTGCCGCAGTCTCAATCTTGGAACCTCTAGGTACAACTAATAAAAAAGAAACAACACTGCTCTTCTGGCTTAACAGAAATTACTCTCATTTGACAATTCTTCTCAAGGTCCTGTCATACTTGAAGAAATCATAAACGATATTGGACAGTCAACCAGAGGATGATTCATCCTAGTCTACTTCCTCAAATCTTGTGACATAGGGCCGTAATATTTTTGTACAGTAATAGGTAAAGGTTCCAACAAAAATCATGGTCCTGTATTGTTAAGTACTGTCCAATATGCAGCACCAAACAATTGCAGACAAATAAGGATCGAAGTAGCAGCAGGAGTTCATCTAGTCCAAGCTCTGATTATGGTAGCATCATCCCCATCTAAACCATCTTATCCATGTGTTTATCTAATCTACTATTAAACGTTTCCAAGGACAGAGACTCTTCAACCTCCATAAGTAATCTGTTCCTATACTTAACTACCCTAACAGTTAGAAAATTCCTAATATCTAGCCTCCCTTGCTACAATTTAAGGCCATTACCTCTTGTTCTCTCCCTAGGGACATAGAAGTTTACAACCACTATTCAGGTATTTCAAGTGTGTTGTCAAATTCCTCACACCCCCACTGTCAAATGCTGCTGAAGCCCCAGCTCTATGGGCCAGATCCAATGGTTCCATGGGCCAGATCTGGCCTGAGGTTGCTGACTCCTGATCTAGTCCAATCCCCTGAACTGAAGGAGAAAACATGTCAACAATCCCCAACAGCTGACTGTCTAACCTGTTCTTAAAAACCTCAAAGAAGGAGTTTCACAACATTCCTACTCCAGCCTTTCACCACCCTAACAGATAGGAGAATTTTTCCTAATAAACAACCTAAATACTTTTTGCTGCAAATTAATCTGATTTATCTTTGTCCTTTCACAAGTGGTTTTGGAGAAGAACTGATTGCCATCATCTTTAAAAAAAAAGTTTTAGATAGTCAAAGACTGCTATGTCTCACTTCAGTCTTCTCTTTTGTAAACTAAACAAATCCCAAATCCTAAATCTTGTCCTGATAGCCTTTTTCTAAACCTCTTATATTTCTTGTTGCTTTCCTCTAAACTGTCTCCAGTTTTCTCTATTTTTCTTGAAGTTAGGTACCCAAAATTGGACACAGTACTCCCACAATACTCCCAAAATTGGGCACAGTAGTCTAGTGCCATGGAGAATAGAAAAAATTATTTCCCTTATTTTCCATACAACACTCTTGCTAATAAAACCTGGGATGATATTGTCCTTGTTTTGACACAGCACCATTTAGTTTTTGATCCACTATAATCCCCTGATTTTTCTTCTGCCATAGTGCTACGTAGTAAGGTATTCTCCATGTTGCCTCTGTGTATTTGATTATTCCTTCTAAAGTATACCACTTTGCAGTTGTATTTATTGAATTTAATCTTGTTGATTTCAGAACACTCCTATAATTTGTCATTTTGAATGTTTGCCTCATTCTCCAAACTACCTAAAACCTCCTCCAGCTTGGTGTACTCCAGATCTTAAAAGTGTACTCTCTATTCTGTCTTCCAAGTCATTAATAAAAATATTGATTAGATTTGGGCTGACGACACATCTATGTGGGACTCCATTTGAAATACTCTCCCACTTTAATAGTGAACCATAGATAACCAGTCTCCAAACCATCTAAAGTAGGCTATAGCCAAGAAAGCTTCTGACTTCCTGAATGTGTTAATCTCCATGCTATTACTCCTCTCTGCCTTCTGCCACTCTTCAAAGGATATTGTGCACTCACCCATCATGAGGACGTCTATATTGTGTTTCATTACTTTGCTTATGGAAGTGTCTTGTGAGACTCTCAAAAAGCTAAATTAAAAATATATCATTTACTTTTACTGTTTATCTATTATCCACTGTTATTTACCCACATAAGAAAAAGAAATTAGTGTGGTGTGATGCCAGATATGATGTAATCAGTTCTTGACAAATCCTTTTTAACTGTATTTTACTTCCTAATTATGTTCTAGTTTCTTACATATTGGTTGTTGTGGTGGCGACATGCCCCCACAGGCTCTAAAGGAGGTGAGGGTAAACACCGGGGGCCCAAAACCCAGAAACAGACCCACCGAGGGGGGAATTTACTTCCGGTTGGTCCGGCAGCACAGGAGCCAGGACCACAGCAGCAGCCACAGGGAAGTTTAAAAGCCCTGATGGAACCTGTAGGGAGGAGGAGGAGCCAGAGGGAGAGAGATTTGGTGGGCAGTACACCCGGTGTGCTGAGGCTCCCACCGGGGAGAGGCACAGCGCAGCCGGCACAACACCGGCAAGCAGCACAGGGGAAAACTTTGAGCCCCCGCCGGAGACAGAGCAGGGGAATCACTGCACCTCCCTGTGGGACCCTGACCAGGAGAGGCAGGTGCCCCCCCTGGAAGAGGCAGAGCAGGGGAGGGGTTTTGAGCCCCCTGTAGACAACTGGGAAAGAGGAGGCGGCTCCAAATCCTGCTCCTTTCCCGAAGAATATTTTTTTGAAGACTACAGAAGGAAAGAAAAAAGAGGAAAGGAGGAAAGTCCCAGGGATAGGGAGAAAGGGTCTGGGCATCAAGACCTGAGGGACACGAGCCAGCTGAGCCATTCAGCCGAGTGCTCTTCCCTTCCCCTGAAGCAGACTGCGGGCAAGCCCGTCAGACCAAGGCCAACGTCAGACCATCACGTAACTTGTTGGCGAGTGGATGGGGTGTAGGGGAGGTTGAGCCCCATGGAACATTGCACCAAGCAACCGTGAGTACAGCCATTGTCGGGAAGCCCCTCTGGGAAGATCTTCACTGAACCCCTCTCTTGATAGTTAACAGCAAAGTCATGGCAGGCGAGGCCAA